AAAAAAAAAAATTTTTTAATTAATTTTTTCTTGTCTTAATTAACGTAATAAATAAAAGAAAGAAAAATAATATATCTCTCGCCGCAAAGAAAAAAGTGTCAAAAGTGCCGGACGCCAAATTCAGTGTGTCAAGTGCCACAATATAAGGAAATTGGAAAAGTAAAGGAGAACAGGAAGATATAATCGTAAAAATCTTCGATACTGCAAGGATACCAGACAAGGAAAAACTGCATATCAAGCCAGTGGACCAACATACCAGTACACTAGAGGCAGCTACCATTCACTCAACCCGGAAAAGTACAGACAAAGAGAAAAAAGCACGGTACGCCAAGCCCGGACTACAGCCACAGAACACGGGATACACGGCACAGGAGAAGGGAACAACGAGCGAAGGCAGAAGCTGAGCATCTCCAGGAAGGATCAAAGGCCCATAAGTATGCACGGAATCATCGTCATGCTGACCATCGTCACGGCGATCTGGTAAGTGAATTTTCATTACTCGTATATACTATACTCATAACCCCCGAGGGAAATACGCACCTAAAAGAAAAAACTTAAATATCGATATTATTTCTAAATCGCAATATCCTAAGACCTTAGCGGCAACCCGTAATTGCATGCACCAGCATATAACCGATACAAACGACAAACACCCCATACAAAATTTTTTAAATTAGTTAATAAATACAAGGAGTAGCCAACCGAAAACAAAAACGAAAAAAAAGACTATCGACTAACACTCGATAGAGCGCGCGTATCTATCAGGTTAACACAAAATACACAGAAACGACGGCGTTTTACAATTTGAAAAATATATATATGAACTAGAAAAGCACAAGACGAACTACAGAAAAAAAAGAGACTAAAGAGCAACACTATGAGTGACGTAGAAACAAATGATACACTGGGAAGGGGAGTACAGGAAGCCATGAGGTGCACAGATATACACGAAATAGGACCAATTGACACAGATGACGAAGTAATACAAATTAATCTAGAAGATGATCCGGAAACATGGACAGAGTGGCAGAAGGCCAGCAAAAAACAGAAGCTTTTTATGATGAAAATGTTAAGGAAATTAACGCCAAGCATAAAACACGGACAGTTATCTCATAGACAAGACATGAGCGATAACGAAACTGATGCGCCATCCCACATAGAAACACATAGAGCCCCTGTATTTGAAAAATTAACTCCACATACCGAACGTGAAAATGCGACAACTAATATGAATCGAGGAGTCACTAACCCACCTAGCGATAAAACACAAGCCAAACACGACACAAATCTACACGATATAATAAGAGAAGCGGTGGCACAAGCGATGCAACAATATACAAATCAAATACCTACATTTTCACAACCAAAACATCAATTATCACAACAGACGTATGCAGAAGTTACACGGCGTCAAACACAAATGCGAACCCCAGTAGCTCAAGGCGAGCAAGAAATCGGGAACGATGGCATCACCCACAATACAAACCAGGACAATAATTATTCTAGACAAAACACAGCGGCACCACTTCATTCTGCAGGAGAGGACGAGTCAGGTTGGACAAATAGAAATTACTTAAACTCCCAAGACCGATTTACAGTACCCATACATTACACAGGAAATTTTAATTACGAACACCCATTTCAGAACATGCTGTCATCACTAAGTCACCTAGCAGCAAACATACCGATATTTGACGGCGATTCCGTTAAACTACCCCTTTTTGAACAAATGGTAAGAGTGGTATCGTGGACAGTAAGCCCTGTATATGAAAAATTTTTTATAGGCTCACTAGCAAATAAGCTGAAAGAAGCAGCCACCGCATTTATACCGCGCCTGGCACAGTTCTCATCTGTAGATGAATTCTTGGTAGAATTGAAAAATAGATATAGCAGCATCGGAAGCGTTAACACGTTATTGGCAAAATTAAAAGCAGTGAAACAATACAGAAGGGTATTAGTAGAGGAATACAGCAGGCGCGTTCAAAAATTATACGATAGAATAATAACCCTATACGATTCGGACACGACACTATCACCCGGGCAACGACACGCATTAAAGGAGAGCGCTGAAAAAGAAGCTATAAAGCAATATACGTACGGGATACAATCACCTTACAACTACAGGGTAACATGCCTTAACCCGAAAACCCTAGGCGAAGCTGTAGTGGCCGCGCTGAAAATGGAAAGCGACTTAAGCCGACGAGAAATAATGCCGGCACGAATCGAGGCCCAAATATACCGAGCGAGAGCAGAAACAAGAGATACGGAAAACCGTGCGAGCAGCCATGAGCAGGCAGAAGTACGCGATACAACAGATAAAAATAAAATAACAGGGGACTATCAATATTGCTCATATTGAAATGAATACGGGGAGCATGCTACAAAAGTATGGATGAAATTAGTAGCAGACGCAGCGAATAAGAAAATTCAAAACCCAGACATAAAAGCAAATGATCCACCAGTGCAGGTATCATAAGATAAACAAAACGTAAGGGATAAAAATTGCGCTTACTGCAAACGCAGGGGGCACTATACAAGCGAATGCCGCACACTAGTAAGAGACAGAGAATGGGAGAATAAATCGGAGCGACGGACGCGAACAATTCAACAATGATAACAGGGAAAATACGGAAGGAAATTTTAGCTACCGGAATAATTATAATGACCCCCATAATACGTATATCCAAAACTATATCAACGATTATAGAAGGAACCCCTATAATAATACAGGCTACAAAAGATATAATAACTACAACAGAAACGCTGATTACTCAAGAAATAATAATAACAATTACAACAACCAGTACGGTAACTACAATAATTATAGAGGAAATTATAATTATAACAGAAATTATAATAGGGATGAAAATTATACTGACAGAGGACCTCCGAATGGAACAAATGATGCA